AACAAGAAAACTACCATGTTAATGCATGCAATGTTGCCCTTATGCAGAACACCAAAAGACCAAAATGTCCCTAAAAAACCTTTATTCACACGTCGTTGGATCAAAGCCATCGATGATTGTGAAGTGGTTCTCATGAAAAGGTCGAGTTCTTAACATAATATACTGGGTTTCCCAATACGTTCACATTACTATGATATCTCTCACTATGAATATATAAGGATCTTCCTTTCATTAGTGAAATCATATGAGAGATTGCAGGTATATTAAACATAAAATATTAGAATGTGGAGCACGATTTGTAATAACCAATCAATCAACTGATCATCAATGAAATCAGATACGTTTTCTTTTAATTTTTATATCATAAACTGATTGAGTTTTTTTGTTATTGCCCGTCAACAATATCACTTTTACATCCCCTGGTTAATTAATATTGTGTAATCTTTATGGTATTAGAAACTTATTCTAACAAAAACATCATTTTTAAACGAGTATGGAATGTGGGGATCCATTGTTTTCTTGGTCGTTGGTTATGGCTTCTTTAAACCCGACCTATAAAAACAAAAAAATGGTGTAGGGTGGGGATCTACTGGGTTGCCTATGATGTAAGCAATAACCACTGAAAGGTAATGAATATCGAGTGCTTAAAGGGTAAGTCACGTGTTTCAACTTTAGAGGCTACATTTATTAGGTTATTAATTACCTTATACATATTAGGTTTATTTGTACTCGCGAAGGACACGAACGTAAATGAAGACCCTTTGTTGGCGAAAGAAAGCTAAAGATGTGTGTCAATTAGTCGTCCATGAGGCCAACTAGCACGTAAATCCCATATGAGAACGTAATAGGTGGTGAGTCTTTCCCAGAATAAGTGGATTGCCAACATTGTACAAAATGTTAGTGGAAGGGGTGTGGATACATTGGCGGATCCACATAAAGATCAACGGGGTTAACTGCCCCAAATCACAACCAAGAAAAGTTGAGTTATAGTTTTTTAACCTGAACTCATTGTTCTCGCCCCCTATCAAGAAATTTCTCCCGAATCCTATCTCCCAACACCAAAAATCCTGGATCATACATTGTGCGGATAGGTCCACATTTGAGGCTCGTTGTTATCTGTCATTAAGATAATGATTATATATCGTTACTAATGTGCGATTCTTTAGTCATGCTAGTCAGTTAGCTGAATCTTGCAATACAAACCGTCGGTGTGTAGAGTCATCCTATGTACTCTTCACTGACAATAGGTATATTTTGGTACAGAACCTTAAATAAAACTTTGATTGAATGTATGACCTTTTACTGAGTGTGGAACCATTTTAAAAGTAATAGATCAAGAGGTTATAAATTCAATTAAAATCTTATGTAAAGTTATATACCCAAATCGACAATAACCCTTTTTTGTTCTTGTTTGCTTTAAACCATATATACACGACTTTTACGAATAAAGTTTTCTACGAAGTAAGAATATTTGATTATCGTTATTCACCTATTACATATTTTTATCCTTAAACTAAATCATGCGACATGTTTTCTATGTTTCTTCTCTGTTCTTCACAATAATAGATTTGAGGAAGGAATTCTAGTATTTTTATGTGGCATTTGTTACATTTATTGCAGAATTGATGAATGCTTTGAATATAGACGATGCCATCCATTGGACAACTCATACACACACACACACACACACACACACATATATATATATATATATATATATTATAAAGTATTTGACAAAAACATTAAAAACCATTTTTTATGCACAAAATACTGTTTATTGATGCATATTACTTAAAATTTAATATTACAAGTAAATTGTGCATAAGTACAACTTATTAAAACTCCATATTTGAATTCGTGTAACTAACTGCAGATAAACATCTCATTTTAAATATAAAAATATAAAATATAATTAGGATAATCATTGAGTTCTAACAGATTACTCAATTATTATCCTTATAAAAATTATTAAATCAAAAATAAATTAATTTATTATTAAATCTAAATTAAATTATAATAA